TTATTTTATATAGTAATTTATATAAATGGTGACAAATAAATGTTTGGATGACTTTTCAAAAGAACAAACATTCAGTAACAAGTCTTTTAAGGCAGGTAAGAAAAAATAAACAACTTTTGCAATTAAAATCTTCCGTTTTCTTAACATTTATTAATGGTACCATCGTGGTCTGTCCTGTGCAGAATGACTAAACACTAAATAATTTCTTTACTAAAACCTCTGTAACTTTGCTCCAGTTAACTTTAGCAGCATGAATCTTTGCACAGGTGATGTTCACAAGTGGATTAATGGTTTCCAAGTGTTTTTAGCCTGATTCAGTATGGTTTTAAATAGGTCATATACTGTCTAATGAAAAAAATATTAAAACTGGAGGGAAAAACATGTTCCATCCTCAATACCTCTAAAATCACAGCAGCTGTTTTAATACTCACACTTCTGATAACATCTCACAAAAGTTAGCTTTATTTTGATACCAGGATTATTTAAGTAAAGTTTATAAATGCTGAGATACACTCAGTTACATTTCAGCATGGGATTAAAAACATCAGGAAAACCCCTTGAGGCTTAAGAACAGGTTTGGTCCGTGGCATAGGCAGTGTAGGCAAATGCTAATGGTCCACTGTCCATCTGGGGGTGGGTGGGGGCACAAATAGGGACAAAAAATATTTTTATAGCTTCATCAGAGTACATTTGATTTAGTCTGTAGAATAATCACTGTTACTCAGGTTTATGAAAGTAAATTGTTCTGTGTGTTTCTCATCTTTATGTGTTACTATTAAATATTCTAATTGGACATCCTGGTTTATAAAGATAAAAATAATATAAATGAAAAAAATAATTGTTTTAGTGTGAATGTACAGTATAGAGGCAACAATTTGGCTGGGGCCGACCCTGCTTTAAAATAAGAAAATAATACAACAAAAAAATAACTCAAATTTGTTCATTGTTACTTTGTCCGCACCAAAATCAGAGATTGATGAAAAATTTAAACTTCATTTTCTCAGTTTGAATGTTGGCCAGCTGTTAAAAGAAGAACACACTAAATACAGCAACTAAAAGAGAAACGGTAAAACTTATTTTACATTTAGTGTTACATTTTGGGCCGGATGAAACGTCTACAAGGGCCAGATTTGGCCCATGGGCCTTGAGTTTGACATGTTTTAGAGTATTTGTATTTTCTAAACCGAACTTAAGTTATTGTATTGCATAAACTTGACAAAGCGGCTGTTTTGCCAATTATTAATTTATTTAACTCTTCTTTGTTTGCAACTCAAATGTTGGCAGTCAGAACAGACAGATCTCCACGACTGGAAGTCAGTTTATTCACAGACTGAGTTCTGGTCTCTGAACGGCTCTAAAAATAGCTCAAACTGCAGTGCAGATAAAACTTGTTTTTGTATAAAAAAAGAAAAAGAAAAAAAAGGATTAAATTAGCACAGATTTAAATTTATGCACTTCTATGAATGTGGAGTCTTATTTAGAAACGAGCAATGATTCTTCTTCATACTGCTGGCAAGTCATTTCTGATGAGATCAGTTTATTTTATCCTGTAATGTAATTCTGTAGCCCTTGGCCTCAAGTGGCTTTTAAATATTAATCTGATTGTAAAGAGGGGAGGACAAATGTGATTTTCAGTGCTTGATGTTCTAAAAAAAATCAACCAAATACAAAATAAATTTCCAAATTAATGACCTTCTCCCACCAGAGAAAAGACTTGAAATAAAGAGTCCAATGAGAGCGCAACTTTTCTAAGGATGCCTTTATTAAAGAGTCAACAACGTGCGCTGGCCGTCCAGTTCTAGAAAAATAACACAGTCATACATTCATCCATGTGGAAATCCTTAAAACAAAGAAAAACAAGGACAGCTTTTATCCTTAAAGCTAAAAATCCCTTTTTGAATGTGACAGGGGAACCTGAATGATGCCTTGTGTGTGTGTGTGTGTGTGTGTGTGTGTGTGTGTGTGTGTGTGTGTGTGTG